AGTACTGTTTATTGGCCACATCACTTGTAAAAATGCTTAGAACTGATTTTAGCACATGTATTGTGTTAATCATTACATAATTTTTCATCTAGATTCTGATCCGAAATCGGGCTACAGATCTTGACTCCCGTATGTACGATGGCTCTACTGCACTTATCCTGGCAGCACGGCTGGCAGTAGAGGGCATGGTAGAGGAGCTCATCACTTGCCATGCTGATGTCAATGCAGTAGATGAATTGGGTAAGTGTGTGCGAATCTTTACTTTTTTTTTTTTTTTTTTTTTTGTTCAGAGTTTTGTGATAATATTCACTGGAACTATAGACGTGTAATCTCATTGTTTGTTGTCTCTTTAAGGTAAATCTTCCTTGCACTGGGCTGCTGCCGTGAACAATGTGGAGGCCACTGTTGCCCTGCTAAAGAATAGCGCAAACAAAGACATGCAAGATCTGAAGGTATGACATCCACTTAGACTTTCGCAGCAGCTTGGCTTAAATAGAGTGTTTGTATCTAACACAGCATCTGTTTTTGTTGCTGTTTTTATTTTCAGGAGGAGACCCCTCTGTTCCTGGCAGCCCGTGAGGGCAGCTGTGAGGCTGTGAAGGTGCTGCTGGCTCACTTCGCAAACAGAGAGATCACAGACCATATGGACAGGTTGCCAAGGGACATTGCTCAGGAGCGTATGCACCACGACATTGTGCAGCTTCTTGATGAGTACAACACAGTAAGGAGTCCCCAGGGCCATGGAGGGGTTGGACACCACCTCTCTGGAGTACACACTCTGTCTCCACTCATGTGCCCTCCCAGCGCCTTCCTGCCTAGTCTGAAGAACACCCCACAGGGCAAGAAGAACCGTCGGCCTGGGGCCAAGGGTTCAAACCTGGGAGGCCAACATGCTACCAGTCTGAAGGAGTCAGTCAAGGCCCGTAATAAGAAGCTGACCTTGGACATGCAGAGTGCTTTACTGGAGAGCTCAGTTACCCTGTCCCCAGTCGACTCACTGGACTCGCCCCACGGGGGAGCTAGCAATGCTGGCTACATAACCAACCCCACTTCCCCTGTGGCCATGCAGTCACCAGGGCTCTACCACTCCTCCATGTCTGTCCCAAACACCCCAATGGTACACAGTAGCATGTTGGAGGGAGGTGGCCCCTTTGCTGTGTCTCTAGCACAACTCAATGACCTGGGAGTGGGAGCAATGTCCTTGCGCTCCATGGCTTCAGATGTCAACCATGGCTATGTGCTGAGTTCAGGCCAGATGGGGCTCAACATGGGCTTGGTCAGTCCTGTCAGTGTACCCTTTGACTGGCACAGCCGGATGTCCTCCTCCCAGTGTGGTCAGCAGGTGGTCAATCTTGTGCAGAGTAGCCAGGCAGGCATGCACCCACAGAGCCCAGCCATGCAGCAGCAGAACATGCTGATGCACCAACAGCAACTCTACCGTAATGCCATGCTGCAGCCCACACCTGTTACCTCCACACCTACGATCAGCCCAGTCAAGCTGCCCTCCATTGCTGAGCAGCAGCAGCAGCAGCAGCAGCAGCAACAACAACAGCAGCAGCAGCAGCAGCAGCAGCAGCAACAGCAGCTTATCAACCACACCATCACCAACCAGCAGAGCATGGCCCGCATGGGCACCTCCACCCCACCGACACCCCAGACCTCCCAGCCCCCACCATCCTTCTTCCAGCAGCAGCAGATGTCTCAGCAACCTCCTCAGCCCCAGCCTCCTGCTCAGCCACCACAGGCAGCCACGCCAGCAGCCCAACCCACTCAGGCTGTGCCCTCCCAGCCGAGTGGCAGCACTGCAGGAACGGAGGATTACCCAACCCCTCCCTCTCAGCACAGCTACTCATCCGCACTAGATGCCACGCCCAAGCATTACCTCCATTTGCCCAGTGAGCACCCCTACCTGACCCCCTCCCCTGAGTCCCCAGAGCCCTGGTCTAGCCCCTCTCCTCACTGTGTCTCTGATTGGTCAGATTCCACACCCAGCCCAGCAGTTGCTGGCCCTGCCCAGACCCAAATTACTCAAATCCCAGAGGCCAATGGCAAGATGCAGGTGTTTGCATGAAGATCTCATGGCTCCTGCTTGAAAAGGGACCTGGGGTAAAATAATTTGTGGACTGGCGCTTAGGCCTGTCTTTATGTGTCAGCCTGTTTCCAAGATTTTCATTGGATTTGGATTGACTGATTATCACGAGGACCGTCTGCTAGTGATTTTGCAGAGAAAAAAAGTAAAGGGAAAATGTGTGTTGTCTGAAACAACAGCAGACAAATTAATGAAGTAATTCTGTCACAGATGGACTTGTTTTTTATTATAAAAAAAAAGTATATGAAGAAAACCAAGTCTTTCATTTCAAAGACTTAGGGATGCTCTCCTGGAAACTAACAAACGTTTAAAAAGTAGATAAGAGAAAAAAAGTTCAATGTTGAAGGGAATTCATTTATTTTTATTTATTGTTTTTATCTCTCTGAATTGCTTTTTTAGGTGTTTTCACCCTCTTTCTGTCCTAGCCTCTTACATAATGTGCCACTCCCTCCTATTTTATATGGACCGCCAACATTTCTATTTAGCCAGTGTGGCAAGTGATGGTAAAGGAATATAATTCATCATTCAGACCAGTTAACAGACAGAAAGAGAAAAGTTCACCTCTATTAACTGATATTTATTTAGGCCAACAACAACTGGTAAAGATGAGAAACTGGTTCTAGCAGATATATATTTTAAAAGTTGCTCAGCAGTAGTGGTATGTTCTGATTTGATTGAATTGTGGTTATTGATTACTTTCCACATGAGTATTATGAATAAGAATGTAGATGAGTGTCTCCGAAGCACTTCAAGTGACCGGCCTGAAAGGGCAAGTGGGGGTCAAATACAACATTTAACTGCAATGGATATTTATAATATATGTGTGGCATTAAATCCATGGTAATTTTCCCTTTGAAAAGTTCCCTTTGAACTTTCAAAATAAATTAGCAGAGTAAAGGTTTAGGTGTAATACTCCAACTTACCTCCATTCTACTGTTAGCCCTGATACATGTATTGTTTTGCCTTTAAAATCAGCCTCTCACTGCCTTTTTTTTTTTTAGATTGTTTTTTTTTTTTTGTTCAATTTGTTTTATACTCTGTATATTTGTGAAAACCATGGATACCGTTTTTTTTTAACATCACTTCGGATGTACTAAGCTATGCTCATCAGCTGCTATTTTATGTCACTCTTCCCTGCAAACATTCCTCCATTTTCAATTTCTTGTTGAACATGGATGCTGTACCGTTCAGCAGCATCCAACACAGAGTAGAGCCAGTTGACAGACAGGTTAGAGGTTCGATTTGTCTAGTCACCGGACTAAACGGAAACATTCCTGGACTATCTGTGGCAGTTGAGGTCTCGTTGACACTCTGACCTTGTAGTGTCTGTGGTGGAGTACTGGTCAGTGTGAGGGTGTGGCTTGCTGGGCTGTGACTGCTTGTGCCCTGTCACTCCTCAGGGAGGTGTTTTATGGCATGCAGTGGGACAGTTCCCCTGCATCTACAGTGGCTCCCAGTCCAGGGGCAGCGGAGATGCATCCTAAGATGATTGTTAGAAGAGACTGAAATGAAAGAACACTACTATGTAGTGCTGCACCCTTAAACTTTTTACAAAATTCTGAGATGACTCTCCCAGTTGTCCAGTTTACACCTTGTGTTATGTTTGACCAAGTCTTTACCCCCACATGACCTGAGTGTTTAGGATAGAGGTCATCCTCTCACTTACTGTGGACATTTCAGCATAAAGTCAGAAGATAATAGTAGAATTTTGAGAAAGTAAACATTGCATTTTCATCTTGTGACATCATGAACAGAAATTAGTAGGCCACCACTCCTAGCTACTACTTTCGTGGTGACCTAACACAGCCCCTAGTTGTGTCATAGTTTGTCTTTCATTCATTGTTTTATCCTGTTCACTATAGACCCAGCTACTGTTTTGATCAGACCTGGGAAAACATGTTGTTGTTCACAGTCCAGTTCACATTTTACTTACAAAAACTGTTTGTTTTTTTTATTTTTATATATAACTGGTCTTTCAATTTTCCTACCAGGTCGCACTAAGTGTTTTGTACATTTCAACCTCCCAACTTCTGTTTGTAAATATGTTTGTTCTGGGTAGATCTTTGCTTGAGAAGTCTTATGTTTCTGAAATGATTATGTACTAAAAAGGACAAAAATAAAATGTACTTCATTTAGCATTATTTGAAGCTGAGGCTGTGACTGATATGTTATTGGTCTTGTGTTATTAGAACAGTCATAGATATTTTCTATCATTATTAATTTCTATACTTGTTTAAAAGTAGTTCAAAAATCACTGTACATAATCCTTTCCACGGTTATTCTTTCTACAGTCAAAAATTGTAAAGGTACTTATAATAAAAACTGTAGGGAACTACATTTTTTTGTGTCCTGGTTTTCAGTAATCGTTTCATATTTTAAAAGGAGGATATTCATTAATTCCAGTCCTCATAGTCATAACCATTCAAATAAAACTAAAAATACAGTGAGATGAATTATTCAACGATTTTATAATCTGAAATGTTACAATTTCTGTCCCAATACAATAGCCAAATAATAAAGGCTGTCTTTGGGACTCCTGTTAGATAATACATTCTTGATTTTTGAAATCTTTTTGCACACCAACACAAGCTACAGCCTAAAATAATTACCAAAACGATGTCTGAACACCTGTCTGAGCTCTCTGGATCAGCAAGGTTCACATTATAATATTCTTAATGGTCGTATTAGTTGCAGGATTATTGTATTAGACTGAATATGTAGCTGCTCGTGATATGTCCATGTCCACCTAATATATTTGAAACAATTAAAAATAAGGTAAGAAAATGGAAAAGATGGTTAAAATCGCCACAACCCATTCTTGTACATAAACCACTTTCTGAATAAGAACAGATTGCGATCTCTCATCTTATATTTAGCTGCTACGTTCTTGAAGTTTAGCTTGCTCTTTCAATTTAGCAAAAGATGTGAAGTAATAATAGTGAGGTTGGTCTAACTGATGCCATATCTTTTTAACTAAAATAACATTGGAAAAATAGAGCTCAGAGACAGTTTTGTTTTTATCATGGGGTTTTTTTTCTATTGTTTTTCTGCTTCTGATCCCAGTTTGTTTCTCAGCTTTTCTTCCAGTCAATAGTGGGGTGTAGAGACTACCTACCCGGCAGCACCAGTCTCCCCTGTCGAGGTCTACTGGGACATGGGCTGTGAGGATGAACCTTATGGTGGCACATGCTATTTATAATTCAAATATCATTGTAGTAAATGTTTTAATGCACCAACAACTTCAGTTTATTTAGACTATACAAGAGTGTGATGGGACCAGTACAGGACAAGCGGGACCATTTTCCTCCTGTGTTGCTTTGTCCCATCAGGGTATAAATGCTGTCTCTGTAAGAGATTGAATAAATAAGAGCTATGAACTGTGGGGTAGACATGGAAGACTTTGAAGGAGCAAAGGCCACTTGTATGTAAGTAATGTCAGTAAACCTATTTAGATTACCATTCCAGAGTGAATTGAGATGCAGTAAATGAAGAAATAAGATTATTATCCTCGCCGAGTGCATCATCTAAATTTCAAAGGCAATGTCACTGTTTAAACCAAGAGCTTATGGGTAATGATGCAAGAGAACGTATTCCACCAAAACTGTGACTGCAAGTTTGATGACAATACACAGATATACAACATTTATGATACAATTTATATTTATCCTCAGGCGTTCTCCATGTTTTGGCCATGTTTCAGTTTACATGTCGGGGGTGCCCTTAGCGGGGAGAGAAGACTGATACTGTTGCGTTAATGTAGCCTTCTAAGATGTTAAATATCAATTATTTTTACTTTTGTAATAATATTTCACCAATTATTTGTCAGACTCATTACAGTAGTACAGTTAATTAATGAGAAGAGAAAATAGATTCTACAATAAGAAAGGTCCATAAATATGGTGTGCATAGTTACAGTACAGGATTCACATTATTTTTAGAGTTAATGTACATACAGTTTACAGACAACATCCTACAGTTGGATGCTATACTTAAAAACTGACAACATGTGGTAGCTATACCACAGTCAATCACAGTCTCCTTATTAAGAATAACATTCACAGTCTATGGAAGCTGACAGTAAAATCTTTATTTCTTCCCTGCCCTCCGCTGCAGCACGCGCAGCACCCCGAGAGTAGCATTGAACACGCTGCCGTGTTTAAAAATCATCTTATAGAAGGTGTCCAGAGGCAGTCGGCCAGTCGGATCTGCATGCTTCAGTGCTGTCATGGGCATGTATAGGCGGTTGGTCTGGTGGCGCAGAGGAGGCTCCTTGGCTAGGATCACTTTAACAGTTTGCTAGAATACAAACAGAAATATGTCGACACTGTCGGGGGTTTGCTCGTTATGCGTTTCCCCTGGTAAAACCAATTTTTGTTTGTGACCTTTTAAACTCAAATGGAAATTGTCATCACTTGCCTCAGCCACTTCCTCTGGTGTCTGGCCTAATGAAGCGAAGACCTTTATAGAGTATGGCAGGTAAACTTCCCGGAAGATTTTGGCGGTCTCCTCGTCCGTCCCTGACAGATCCATCTTCTCAGCATCCTCGTACACTTTCCTTTCAAACTCTGTCACCACAGGGCCAGGCTCCACCAGAGTTGTCCTTGTGACAGAGATATCAAAAAAAATAACATACGTACATATTGGACCACTGTTGCATTACAGTCAACACCTTGTAAATACATTAAAGTTGTTGGGTGACTGCATAAAGTCGTCAAACATTTTTCAGGACATGTAATCACTTGATGTTAAACTTCATTGCTTGCACTGCCAGACTTTCGCAAAATCCTTCCACAGCGAATTTGGAGGCCGAGTAGACGTCGTTGAACAGAAGCCCTGTGTGGAAACAGAAGGAAACCTGCTCCTGTAACTCTCTTTTAATTGTTAGCTTCTTCTGTAATTTCACTGACACTAACAAACGCACCTTGTATTCCCATGACACTGCTCATCACCACAATATGGCCGCTCTGCCTCCGCTTCATGTCAGGCAGCAGCTCTCTCACCAGCCGTGCCAGGCCAAAGAAGTTTGTGTCAAAGAGCTCCTTCATGGAATCTATACTTTGGCACTCCAGTGGTCCGATCATGCCGACGCCAGCGTTGTTCACTATAACAGCAGAGTATTCTACATCATTATATGCTTGTGGAGAGATATTTAATTGACTTAAAAAGGGGTCTGTGAGGAATGCGAAGGAGAGGTTACATACCAAGAACATCCACCCGTCTGTCCGGCAGGCTGTTGACACACTCTTTGATGGAGGCTTCACAACGGGCATCTAACTGTTTGATTTCCAGGGTTTTGTTTAAGGAGCCACCTGCCGCTTTCTCCAAGGGCCCCCGTTTCCCAAGATCCCTCATTGTGGCAACCACTACCTCAGATAAACGATGAATACACAGGCAGTAAGTAGCTGTAGTTATATCTATCCTCCACTCTGTTTTTGGTTGAGGAGACTGAATGGCTGACCTTTAAACCGTCTGAGCTCATCCTTGGCCAGCCGCACAGCCACAGCCAAGCCAATGCCAGACGAGCACCCAGTCACCAGCACCCTCCTGGTTCCCATGGCCGTTTGACCTCTGACTTCCAAGCTTAAAAGGATCCTGGCTGCCCAGTCAGGGAAATTTAATTAAAGGAAAATCCTCCCAATCATATGCCTTCATCACCATTCTGTACAGTACCGATGTTTTTTTGTGATTCAGCATTGTAATTGGTCAACCCATTTTCCCTAATATGCCATGTGTATATCTATTTAAACTATTGATTTATTTCTTTGTTTTGAATGCTATTTCAACATACCCAGAAAATCTGCAAGATAATTGATGTGAGAGAGTCATTTTTAATAAGCACAGTAACAACAAGAGTCCAGTCAATAAAACCCAACACATAGCATTGTAGCCTATGCTCAAATTGCAACAAATCTTGCAGCTGCGTTAGATTATGATTTAATGGCATTACTGTATCGTTTATTTTTTACATTTATTATCTTTACTCCCCTGTATGATCACTGAATGCTGGTGCAAAGTAATAAGCCTTCTAAGATGTCTTTGTTATCCCTTAGTTCCCTCGTTAGCTGATATAAAATCCAAATGTTTAAATCTTATGTTGTTGATTTGGAAAATGTACCACCCATAAAGCCACTTTGGTATTTGTTCAAAGATTATATTGGCTCTAATCTGATTTATGTATCCTGGAATTTTTAGCAGCCTACAAATGCAAGCTTAGTGTCTATAGAGGCCCTTCATTCTCACTCAAAGCTGTAACAGGTATAATCACAGTGAGTGTGAAGTGTCATGGCATGCACAACATGGTAATACAATAATAACAATTTTGGAAATCCAGTCCCATCCCAATCAGTGTGTAATGTAATGAAGGCTAATACTTTCACATATTTACATGGATGCCTCTGAGTTAATGGTTATGCAAATACAAGTCTTTAGGCCTAAAGCAGGAACAAATTGTTTAATATAAATCCATAAAAAGCACCTCAGCACTTATAGGCTTATGTCCTTACTCCCCACCACTGCATGTCATGCAAATTACAGTGACACCACAGGGGATGAAATATAGCCTACAAAACGTCACGATAGACTGTGAGTATTGCAGCTTTTTTTTAACTCCCTATAGGACGAGTCGTCAAAGTCCAGAGTCGGAGGCCTGTTTCCGCTTGTAGGTGTTGTTCTACCAACCTGTAGAGCGCGTCCTCCCCAGCGGCAGATAGTGGAAATAAAAACTGTTTCCCCTCTAAACCAGCGGGTCGACAGCGTAACGTTGCTGCATGTGTGAGAGCAGCGATACGACACAGCAGGACAGGCGGCTACATGAGCTCGGCGATTACCTAAATGGGTCACACAGGGCGAGTCAGTGTGTGTGGGAGTTGTAGTTCTTGAGGTGAATCGTGAAAACTGCAGCACATCATATTACGGTGTTATGTTATGGGTTACACTTTCAATTATAGCAAGTATAGGCTACTCGCGCAAGTTCTTAGGCTGTATGCCTGAGTCTCAGAATTGGATAGAGAACCTTAAGATTATTATAATTAGAAATAGTAGTATTACAACAAAATATGTCTGTTCTTTACATTTCTATCAACATGTGACTTTAATTAAGTCACAATAGCCATACGGTCCCTTTTGCAATAAATAATTTCATAATTTCTTATTTCGTTCTTCCATCATCTATACTGCTCACCATGCGGGTTCCCGGGAGTTGGTGACAAAGTACGATACAGTAATACAGATATGATTAACATTAATGCTTAAAGTTTGAATATTGTTAATATATATATAAGATAATAATCGAGAATTGGATTGTTTTTACACTTTATTTTTAATTTGTAATTACCGGTAGTGATACTAAAAAAGATTGCATTTCTAGTATAATTTCTTGAGTAAGTAAGGAGTAATTCAATTTGGCACCAAGTCATAGTATAGCATGTTGAAAAAACTCGTAAAAAAATACAGTAGCCTATATGTCGAAAAAAATGATTAAGAAATCTCACCATAGTATGTCGAAAAAGTATAAAAACTTCAAAAAGATTCAAAATATAGTATGTTGGAAAAATGTCATTAAAAAGTCATAGTATAGTTTGTCAAAAAAAGTTAAAACACTTGTGAGATTTGTTCAGATGTGTAAATATCAGTAATGTTACTGGTTAAGAGTAAATGAAGATGGCACACAGTACAAATGAAAAATATTTCCTCCTCTACATTGTGCTCATAGTAGTATATCTTCATGTTAGAGGTTTACAAAGAAACCAAATCCACATTTCTGTTTAAACTGTTTTATTGCCCAGTGAAATATGGTCTAAACGTGAAGGTTCAATCAACGTCTTAGTTCGAATAGTCGTTGAAAAAAAAAAAAGTTCACTTCTAAACGTCTTTTAAACATCACCGTATTTTAAACGTATTTTAAACGTCGATATGCTCACAGTTCATTCAATATGTAGCAATTAAATACATAGTAACACGGTCAACTGTTTTCACGTACAGGACAAAGAAGACCATGTGACACAGACAACAATTAATTTGTATTTATTATATAACTATAACATAAACAGTGTTCTTTAAATACAACGAATGAAACAGAAATTACTCGATTGTTGAACAAAACCTCTCTTTCCTTCTTTAAATGTCGCTGTCAAAGCCACACAGGAGCCGGTTTCAGATGGTCTGCCATATTTTCAGGGTGGAAGTATTAGAAAAAAATATTCACCTTTGGACCATTTTTTAACGTCTTTTCACCAGTGACCATAGTCTTTTTTTAAAGGCAATAATTGGTCGTTAAGGCAGACTTGCTGGTAATGGTGATAGCAGATATATAAGAATAATGCAGGAAGTAACGTATTAGTTTCTCCACCTCAACACATTGTATGAATGGATGGATAAATGTCAAATTACCTTGCTTATGCTGCCCTCTGTTGGCGAACCCCTGACACAGGCCAGAGGTGGGGAAATGCCAGTAAACTATCCATGCAATAGTTAGAAATGCATAGAAACAAACCTTGAACAAATAATAATCTGTTGACTTCAAATACTAAATACAACACCAATTGGTCCCATACTTAAACGTATATTTTTGCGAGCAATTCACACGGCTACACTGTTGTGCCTCGTGATCTCCAGTGCTAGTTTACATTTGTTGATAACTGCCTTGTGTTGCATCGGTGACTTCTGTATTTTAGACATGAACACACAACAATTTAACTGCAGCAAGAACATGTGCCTATACTTACATGTTCATGTACGCATACAAATGTCCACAATTTAAATACGCACCACCAGTTCGTAATCTCTTCAGTGTCGGATCAATCCTGCGCGTACTGATACTCCAAATGCAAGGGGTGGTGTGGAATGCTCCAAGTCGCGGTGGAAACGGGGGGTTTATTGCAATGTCATTAAAATACTATACAGTCTATGTTAAAATACCATAAAAAAAAAGTCATGGTATAGTATGTCATTAAAGTTTCATAAAAAGCCATAACATAGTAAGCCATTATAATGTAATAAAAAATAATTGTATGTTATTATAGCATAAATGTTATACCATAAAACGAATATTGTAGTATTCCATGAAAATGTCGTAAATATGTCACTGTATAGTATGCCACAAGTTATGACATAAAAAGTCATAGTATAGTTTAAAAAAAGTATTCCATAAGAAAGTCACAAAATCACAGTATAGTATGCCATCAAAATGTCACAAAAAAGTCATAGTATTGTATGTCATAGATAAGTCATAGTATAGTGTGTCATTAAAAAAACTCATTGTATAGTATGTCAAAAAAAGTAATTTAAAAAAAGTCAGAGTACAGTATAAAGGTCATCAAAAAGTCATATGATTTTATGCCATCGAAAAGTAATGGTAGTGTTTCGTAAAAAAATGATATAGTATAGTATGACAATCACATTCTTTAACAAAATCATCACATTTCAGTGTACAATTTAATTTTAATTGTTAAAAGTTTTTTTTTGTCACGTAGCCTGATTGTGCACTAAAGCTCTCTTATCTGTTTGACTGTAATTGGAACTCGTGTTTTGTGGTTGAATGCATTTTTTTGAAATTGGAACCGTCTGTACAGATTTGGTGGTCCCCTGGCGCAAAAACATCGTGTGATCTTTGCTAACAAAAGGTGTTAAGTAAGAACTTCTTTTGTGGCATGATTCTCACAGTCCATCATTTCTATACGAGCCACTTGTTTGTTTCTGCATGCCAGAGCTATAGGTTGGGACATTCTGTACAACGTGGTGGTAAGTAATACCATGTGGGAACTAAATAACTTTAATTGATGTTCTGAGAAACATGAGCCACCACCTCACATGATTGTTTTGTCAAAATGTATACCACCTGATATGGCTTTGTACTCAGATGACTTTGCTAAATACAACAATGTTTGTTGGTTATTTTAACTTTTAAAGGGTGAACTTGGTTATTCACATATTCTAATATTTAGATTATATAGAAAATAAATCAGGTTCACATGGACTTATACTTGCAAGTGACAAAAGTAAAACAAAAGGGGACATTTGGAGTATTTTGCTTATTGATTGTCAATTCTATTTTCTATCTGGTATCGTACTCTCAGTGGCCACATCAGCTGTAAAATGTAATGGAATCCAATAAATCAGCTTTGTCATAAATTCTACCTTTACACATGTATAATGCTGACACTGTCGGAAAGGCGTCAACAAATACTAACAAGCTTATTTTTGTATTTTACCTATTCTTTTTTTTAACATTAAAGACAAATGACATTTATCAATAAGAAGAACTCTGTTTTATATTTTCCCATAGTGACTTGAGAGATCAGATTTTAAACATGAAAAGAGATCCCATCACACTGCAGCCAGCCAGATTAGGATTACCTGTGTCTCATCTATACGCCTCTTCTGAATCATGTTACACACATTCACCCACCTACATGCACACAAACACATAACTAGTAATAACATACTTCTAGCTGACCTTTGGATGATGTTTTTAAAAGTCAATGAAAAGATATCAATACCTCTCCTGGCTGCCTCAACCAGAACTGAGCATTGAAAGTTGCGTATTTGTTGCAGTGCTGTTTTATTGAATTGTGTTAAACGTATGTGTCCCCACTGTCCCAGAGTAGTCCAAACTAGATCTCTTTAAGATCATCGACAGTAAACATATGTCAGAAGTTACAAAATGTGTTCTGACACGTGTTTCTGTGTTTGTTATATAATTCTTCACATTATCAATATATAATTCTGTTACGGCTTTTGGTTCCCATTGGTCAAATCTGGTTTGTATTGTGTGTCCAGGGAGTGGCCAGTTTTCGTTTCATAACCAGACATGGAATAAATAGTTGCTTTGGACCAGACTGCAACGATACAGTCTTCGAAAACACAGAAGTCAACTCTCTGCCACGATGTAAGTACAATTTTATGGTTCATATTGTCTTTGATGGTATTAAATGAATAAACAGTTCTTGGTGTGAACTAAGCTTCAACGCTGTGAGAAAAGTATCCTTTTTTCTCTCTGGGTGAACAAAAATGATTTAGTGGAAACTCTATATGTGTGTTTCAGGATTTGCCTTTCGGTGCTTGTTGGCTTCCTGTTAGTCTTAACAGCTGAGGCCAGAGTTGGGTAAGAAATAAACCCCCACTTTAAATAGATTGTTGCATTTGACCAAAATTGGCATTTGTGCCTTTTTTTAAATGTTTGCCTTCCTCACTATACAGAAACTCATCTCAGTTAGCATTCTGTACTGAGACAGAACAGTGCCTGCTGTTTGATCTGATTTGTAAAACTGATGATTACGAAGTGAGTGTGTCTAAGCAGAAGAGAAACCTTTTCACATTTGAGGTGCAAGAGACTTTCAAAAAGCCTAAAAGCCTTCTCAACCATGTTTGTTCATGTCCATCAGGTCCGTCACTATGACTCTGTCAATTGGGTTTCAACTGACGAAACATCCTGGTTCATGGACATCGCAACAGTGACAGCATTCAGACGACTGTTTGCCTACATCGCTGGTATGAGAATCAAGTGTTATTTATATATGTTTTATTTGATCTATTATTGAAAGAGTTAGTCTTTTTAAGATCTGTGTCTTTTTCAAGCGAGACACACAGACAATCAGAACAGCACACCATTTGCAAACAGAAATGAATCAAATTAGTCAAAATGAGGATGAAGTTTGAAACTTCGTGTGACTCAGCCAGTTTGCAAGGAACGCAGTATTTAAAAGCAGGTTTTCCAGCCTCTGTTTGAATATGTTGTGCAGCTAAAATCAAAATGCCCCTTTGACCGGACATCATAATTACTGTGTTTAGCTGTGCTCAGAGAGCAGAAATAGTTTGGCGGTATTGTAGAATATTCAAGCCAGAACATTTTGTTTGCTGTGCATTTCCTATTTTTGACAATTAAAAACAAATAAAAACTGTTGTACTTTCAAAATGTTTGCCTACAGGAAATAATATTAAAATGACAGCTCCTGTTCTCGTGAAATGCACTCCCGCCACCTCATTCTGGCAAACGGGTACCTACACAATGAGTTTCTTGCTGCCAGTTGAACATCAAAAGAATCCCCCCAAACCTACTGATGTTAAGGTAAGCTTCTTTGACAAAAATGAAACACATTCTTAATTTAGTGATGCCATGATGCCATGTTTGAATTCATTCTGTGAAGTCTACCTTCAGCTCTGGCAGACAATGAAACGTTGTTGATTTGCAGGTGTACATCAACAAGATGCCAGATATGAAAGTCTATGTACGCAGCTACGGAGGATGGATGATGAGCTTGACTGAAAAAAAGCAAGTAGAAAATCTGCGCAATGACCTTGATAAAGTGGGTGCAGAGTACAAAGAAAGCTTCCACTATTCTGCTGGATATAACAGGTAAACAAATGAATAATTTTGTCAGCGATAATCAGAAAGAAAAGCCCAAAGAGAAACTTCAATATTTGTTGATCATTTTATACTGTGCAATAAATCACTGTGTGTGCATTTTGTTTGTTTGTTTTCCAGTCCAATGAAGCTGTTTAACAGGCACAATGAGGTGTGGTACATCGTTGAGGATGAGCCGATGTGTACCAGCAGTGAGGAATTGGATTTTTCTCCTTCCTCCTAAATATTATAAGCCGTGTGCAATGACAGCTTACAGTAAACATGGTATGTAAAGAGATGTTGTAGCTGGACATTGCCTCAAGTCATAAAGTGTCATATAAATAACCTGCCAGCAAGAGCACAGATTTAAAAACTGCTGTTGGATTTGAATGAATTGAATACACCATGCAGTACTTGTTGTACACTGGCCTGTTTGTTGTAGTTTTTTTCTATTCAATAAAATTACTGCATTGCATTTTGGTGGTTCGGCCTCGTCTTTGGATTTATCCTAAAATGTGTCAAAAGCAGCTGGTTTAACAATAGATGAGGCCTGCAAAAGACATTGTCCGACTCCAATTTAGGGCAGAATTATTCTACAACACCACTAGATGGCACTGCTTACTTCAAGAATACCGTTATGGATTACACATACTGCCTGACATTTCAAGCTTTTCCTTGACATATGATAAGGATTGTTGAAGTTTTTGAAGATGTACCCGATGAGTGAGGGGAGACAGTGTCCAGGTGTCTGAAGCCAGACTGGTAAAAATAGCGTGAGGACTATTTTATTGATGAATGTCGTAATCCATTTACAAGCTAATGTGCAGGAGCCATAACCATCCACCCTTGAACTGCTCTATTGCTTTGACGTCACTGTGAGCTTCATCAAAGCAGCCACTGCACCTTATCAAGCACTCGCTGGGGAAGTGGAACAATTTAATCTCAGTCCCTCATCTCAGCAATTGGCTAATATTGTTTTATACTGAGTTAGGTTTACTGGACTTTTCTCGATTGCAGTTTAAGGAGGATAAATTATATTTCACTCGAGAATGAACAGCTGATGTTAAACTGAAATTCAGTGGTGGAAAGTAACAAAGTACATTTACTTAAGTACTTTACTACAGTTTTGGATAACTTGTAGTGGGTTTCTGCATCCTTATACTTCAACTCCACTACATGTCGGATGGAAATATGATACATTTTAATTCCACTACATTTATATGACAGCTATACTAGTTACTTTGCAGGTTAACATTTTACATAAAAAAACCACCAGTGTCTATCAGTGGTTACCAGTTATACTAAAGAGTGACTTTCTCACTAAAGATCTCACTCTCAGATGGTTTCATTAAAATTACCCAAAGAGAAAAAATCATCACCATTTTCACAGAGAACGAGAAACGTAAAAGAAAAAGACTACACATTTGTAGCTAAACTTTATTTTGTCTTGTTTAGCCCAATAATCATCTCACAATGCCTCATGTTTATCTTGTGAACCTTTGGAGGGGCCAGACCCCTAGGACCCCCACTGTACTGTATATATGTGTGTGTATACTGTATATAAAGAAGTTACAACTAGATGCATCTTGACCAGCTACAACAGTAAAATGCTACTTACTCATTGATGCAACACTATTTTCTGATAATGTCATATATAACAACATATCATTCAAAGAGGACAGTGTTTTTCTGCAGTGACTACTTTTACTTTTGCTGATAATGCCTCTGCGCTTTAACTTAAGTCAGATTTTTAATGAGGCACTTTTACTCGTAAAGTATTACATTTTTTTACATTGTTTCACTGGTACTTTTACTTAAGTAAACAACCTGCGGTGTAAGAATACAACAACCTGTGTATTCTTACACTGCTGCAAAAATTGCAATGCCGCAATACAAAATGATAATCCAGAAATAAAAATGTAATTCTTTTAGTTTTGTCTGTGATTAACGGCACTCTTCAGTTGACCCTTATCTTATCAGCTGAGCTCCAGGATGGATCAAAGATACTGTAGTGATTTCATGACAGTTACATTCCAGCAGGTGGATATCCGACTGTCCCCTGTATAGGGGCTGGCTGGCTGGCTGGCTGGCTGACGGACTGACTGACTGACTGAATGGGTAGGAGTGCCAGTCAGGAGAGGTTTTATGACACAGACTACAGATCAAAGTTCACTTGTAGGCCACGAACAGCCATCAGTCCACCGGGGCTGTTGGGCCTGCCAGCGGGCCATTTTGTGGCTCTCCTGTGTCTGTCTGGTCTCCTGATCTCTGAAACAATGAAGATCAGGCGGTGTTGACTCTGAAGCTCATGTCCCATCAGCCATAATGGAGCTACCTGATTATCACCCACAGCAGCCACTTGTCCACTACACTGGCAATTACACAGAGGATCCGTTAACTTTGGAAGGATCATCAACATGTGAGTATACGTTAGTTAGATAGTGCCCTTGTAGACAGGTTTCAGAAAATAATGTTTGAATTTGTATAGTGTCTGGAAACGTATATTTTGAAGAGTTGCGGAAATTATATCGATCATGTCGATGTTAAAATCCCCATTTACTGAAGTAAAGGCGTAAAGTTGTTCACCGTTGTGCTACAGATTTAAATTTGGTAGACTGGGGATTACATAAGGGTCATATCTGTGTTCACAGTCAAGCAAACCAAGCTGAGCGATAAGGTAGTGTCTGTAACAACAGAGGGATCGTCCTGTACTGTTCTCTATTCTCTCAACATGCTGAGCAATAAACCCCATTAGATGACACACTTGTGCCAGCAGCATAGCACTGACCCAGAGTAATCGACGTTGTTGTAACTGGCAGTATTACTGCCGTTATTCCAGACGTATTATCAACTCAGAATCTTCTTTGTGACTGACTTGAGATACACAAATCATTTCCAATAAAAGATACAACACAATGTAAAGTCTACTTACTTGTATTTTTCTAAAAGTAAAAAAGAAAAAGAGAGAACAGAGAAGAAGGTTGAAGCAGCATTTGCTTGACACAAAACACCATTTTACAACCAACACTTGCTTTCTCACCTTGTGCAACGTTAGCGGTCTTCACCATCAGCAGATTGTGTCGTACTGTACATTTGACATTCAGCGTTAATGGTGGTGTCATTCTCCAGCTCAGGAATTAAAGGCAGAACCAGATGGCAGACCAGTACCAGAAGAGAGCTGTCCCATCTGTGGAGACAAAGTGTCAGGATACCACTATGGACTGCTCACTTGTGAAAGCTGCAAGGTAAGGGATAGAGTCCATGAAAAAGTATGTATTCTCTAACAGTACCACAAAGCGCTTCAGTGTCTGTATTGACCAAATAGTCACAGTCAACAACTATAGAACTAAGATATATTAACTATCATGATTTATTTTTTATATTGTCACTCACAAGACACACAGGATTGTCTTGTGATCCACCGGGAATGAAGCAAATAGGGTTACAGTCTCTCTCTCTCTCTCTCTCTCTGCAGGGCTTCTTTAAACGCTCAGTGCAGAATAACAAGCATTACACCTGTGCAGAACAACAGAGCTGCACCATGAACCTTTCGCAGAGGAAACGCTGTCCTTTCTGCCGCTTCCAAAAGTGTTTGGCAGTGGGCATGAAAAGAGAAGGTACAGTAAATAGGGTTAGAGATTAACCCTACCCCTCCCAGAAACATACACACATGCACTCATGCCTTGTACTTGTATTCTGCTCCGTTGTGACGTGCCTTGTTCCACTGACATGCATGTTCTTTTCTCCCCCATACGACTTATCTAAGAAGTCATAAAGCATACAGTGCTGTAACGCCACAGATTATAAATGACGACTTTCTATCTGAACCCTAAGACAAGACGGTTACATGAATTAAATCACCTCTGGCAATGTCTGAAATCTTGTTGAGAAATCTTGATTGTTTGTTTCATCTTCTGTCAACAGCAGTAAGAGCAGATCGTATGAGAGGTGGCAGGAATAAATTTGGCCCTCTGTACCGGCGGGACAGGCAGATGAAACAGCAAAAGGTGTATCACCAGCCAAACACTGCTCCCTACAGGATTAGGATGGAAACCACTCAAACACATCGGCCCACAGCACCAAGTGAGCATCACCTAATGGGCAGTCACACAAGTGCTCCATTTTCCTCTGATGCTTTACATCAGTCCCACATATATCCCTCTGGCATGGGGCAGTCGGGTGCTCCCATGCCTCTGGACTGCACTATGAATGCAGACAGGGTGCTCACCCCTCTCTCGCTGCCCTACTCTGGACTGTACCACCGCACCTTCACCGGATACCTCCAGGAGAAAGGAGAGATGCCTTACAGCTACAGCCCGGCTCCAACAAACTATGTGCACCCAATTTCGGACAATTCATTCACACCAAGAAGCACACCAGCATCATCCCCCTGCTCAACACTAAGCTCATCCACCCCTTTCTCACAGGCTCCCACCCAAACCCCAGACACCCCCTCATCGGCCACTCTTAAACACAACTTCCTCAATCAACTCCTGGAGGGGGAGCAGGATGAGAGCCAGCTGTGTGCTAAGGTCCTCGCCAGTCTGCAGAGAGAACAGGCCAACCGGGGCAAGCACGACCGCCTAAATACATTCAGCGTCATGTGCAAGATGGCAGACCAGACGTTGTTTGGGCTTGTGGAGTGGGCTAGGAACAGTGCACTCTTCAAGGAGCTCAAGGTGATGAATCATGAATTATAAAGTTACATAACCTTTTTCGCAGTAGTAGAAATCTGCTGTGTGAGCAGACCCATTTGACACTTTTTGCTATATGTTTGGTACTTATTTGAGCTCGAAGGTTGTAGTCTTTCATTTACAACTACATCAGACCTATTTTTTAATGCTTCCCACAGGTGGAGGACCAGATGGTGCTGCTGCAGAGCTGTTGGAGTGAGCTGCTGGTCCTGGATCACCTTTGTAGACAGGTGATCTACAGCAAAGAGGGCTGCATATATCTGGTCACTGGACAACAGGTAAGGTTTACCGTTAACACCACAACATCTGGAATTCTTATGATCATCAACAATGTCTTTGGATTGAACAGGTCTCATTTTGGGTTGCACAGAAACTTTACATTTTGAACTCTTGATCACCAGCCATCTCTCATTCTGATGTAGATTGAGGTGTTGACCGTCATCTCTCAGGCAGGAGTGACACTGAGTAGCCTGGTATCAAGGACCCAGGACTTAGTGTCCAAACTGAAGGCATTCCAGTTGGACAGACATGAGTTCATCTGTCTCAAACACTTAGTGCTATTCAACCCTGGTGAGTTTTTTCTTTTAAAAGTCTAACTAGACTCTTCATAGAAGATACACATCAGATGTAGCTTTTTGATCAACAATGTCACCTTTTTTTCTTCCTTCATGTCAGTCATGCATGCAGCTGCTGTTGGTGTTGAGGGTGTATGAATTATATACTTTCTGCTGTAGATGTGAAGTCAGTGCAGAGCCGCAAGCAGGTGGAGCAGACGCAAGAGAGGGTGAACAGGGCCCTGATGGAGCACACCCAACAGAGTGATCCAAGACACTCGGACAAGTTTGGCCAGCTGCTGCTACGACTTCCTGAAGTACGCAGCATTAGCTTGCAGGTTGAGGAGTATTTGTACCAGCGCCATCTTCTGGGAGATTTGCCATGCAACTCTCTACTCACTGAGATGCTGCACACCAAGCACAGCTGAGAAGATGCTGCTGTATCTTCAAGCCCTCTTCAAACAGCGGCACAGTCAGAGTGTGCTGCTGTGAATTTTTGTACCTCCCTTTAGGCCCAACTTTCGATGATTGTTGCAAATAGTAACTGGCATGCTCTCTTTAAAAGCCCACTTCAAAAATATTTTGAAAAAACATTTTGTAAACCTGCGTCATACTTACCCAAGTGTCCATTATCAACAGTATTACCACAGCCGAACAGTCCAGTCAACATATGTTGCTGTCAGTATTGTTAGACAGATTTGAGGTCCAAGCACTACCAATAGGCAGAAGTGCTTAACTGTGTAAAAACAAAATATCTGAATAAAGAAACCAATGTGTATTCAACACCCATAACTGAATTGACTCAAGCATGTATTAATATATCAGTGTTGCTTTTTCAGTATCTGCCAGAAAAGCTCCTTTCTGACAATTCTAACAAGGCAAATGGGGAAAATAAAAATGGGAATGACAAAACATGGATGACGATGATTTTAAAAGGATTTTTATTCGTCTGGTCTAGTTGACAAGGATAGTCAATTCATGAAATGATCATACATAATGTGCTGGCACAGGTTTGATAAGAAAAAGAGAAAAGGAAACAAATGTTATGACAACTTCTATGAAATGAATGAGAGACTTACCACCTTAACCTAAAAAGACATAGAACCTGAAACTAAACATCAAATGCACCATCTAACGCAAACTAAATAAATACACCTCTGGGTAACGTGGGGATTTCTAGGGGAGAATTGCACAGAATCAAAATAGTGTTCAACTACCACATACTATTTACAAAACACATAAATACAAGCATCCACCAATTCCATATGCACTCCTCCACACTCACTTTTAATCAATCATCGTATTTCCTGAATGCGGCTCTTAACATTTTTTTTTTTTTGTCCCACATCTTGAATCACATTCAAACAACACATTTGTTGGAGGCAGTCAGTGATTTGAAACAAGACAGCTGCACCACGGCAGCTGCTGTAGTGCTAAAGACTGCAAAGGAGGGTGAAGAAGCACAATTTCCAACAGGGTGTGTGTGTGGTGATTATTGACCTGATCATAAGCAACTGCAGGGTCAAGACTTTTTCCTAACGACGTGGAAACACTGCCAGACAAAGTGTTTTACAATGGCGTCTTACATTCCCCCCAGTTATATATATATATATATATATGAAGGAGTCTCTCGAGACTGTGTGGGGAAGATGAGGGCTGTTACAGTCCAGAATGATCCTTCGACAAGAAACCTACTGTTTATATGCAGGTGCACACAAACAGGGAATCATAGAACAGGAAACAGACTCCTAGTGACCTGAAGGATTTATTACTCCTAGACAAAAGGTTTAAGCAAATTTTTAGTTGTTTGACATTTTCATTCTCTTACACTCATTCTCATCTCAAACATACATCTCACTAATGCTTTTAAGCAGCAGAATAGCTTATTCGTAGCTTACAAAGGTCAACTTACTTTTTACAAATCATAGTCAAAAAAAATCGAAGTGATCAGCATTCAGTATATATTAAATCAGCTTTGATTATCATTTTCACACATAGCTGTATCCGAGAAATGATAAACATGGTAAAGCCCTCCTTCATGTTTCCAGTTATTTTTTTTTTTTCAAGATAAGCTCATAACATTTCAATTCATATCTCATGTTGAAAATGAGAAAGCAAGTTAAGAGGAAAAAGTCACATGAATTTCATTCTTCTTTCAGCTCTCAAAGGCCGAAGCAACTTGTCCAGCAAAAACATGTCAAAATAGTATAAAAAAAAACATCCAGATGTCTACAGCTGATGGAGTTGGAATTGAGTGGAATGCGCAAACTACGGGGGCACAGGCAGTTTCTAGGTGTGCAAGTCCAAAGACAACCACAGTAGCCACCACCAGTGCAGCCCACATAGGAACCACCCACTATGCTTTTCTTTCTGGTCCTGACAAACCAAGAGAAAACACCCTTGAATGGAATGAGTTGTTAGTGTGTGTGCCCTACATTCATACGAGAGCAGCATTACCTGCCATTCATTTTCAGCTAAGATCTCCTATCAGAACTGAGAGTCGAGCCACTCGTCTCACTAGACCGGAGAGAGGGTGAGCCCTGGAAGAAGAAGAAGAAAAGGCAGCAAAAAGGAAAAAGCAAGCAGAATAGAGAAGGGGCGGGAACTACTCTGGCCCAAAATACTGTGTGGGCGAAGGCAGTGTGGCTGTCCCCTCTTTTTCTTACCTAAGAGTTGCAAAAAAATGACTCCAGGGGCAGGGTAAGGCAAGACATGAGGAGGCAGGGTGCAAGGGAAAGAAAAGTCTTCATCCCAACAGAATCAGTTACATTACATTTTACAATCTAGGGAGACGAGGCAGAGCCAATCAGAAGCCCTCAAGAAGGAAACTATTGTAACTACATTGGCTGAATGAGTGAGTGATTGGCCCTTTCTCTTGGCATATAGAGTTGACTGAATTGCTCCAAGGGTCCAGGTTGATAGCTGGCCAAAAGCCTAAATCAGTCATGATGTCCATTGTTAGTTAGCTGGATTCTGCACAATCTCAAGTGCCTCATTGGCCAAAGCAGAGGACAAAAGGAGCTATTCAAGCTGGGAGCTGGTTCCCTGAATGGTAACATCTCTACCTGTCTTCACCCAGCTCTCTGACATTATTTGGGGGTGCCAAGCTTCTTGGGAGTTCCTGGGCGCTTTTGCCAAAAGTGACCAGGGATGGTGAAGGCGTCAACACTCATGGACATAGTTTTGGACGGGATGGCAGTGAACTGCTTGCGGTCAGAGCTGTACTTGTAAATGGACTCAACCATCTCAGGCGCAATAATCCGAGGGCCAATACCAGTGAGCCGTACCATCTCCTCAGTTTCAGGGTTCATGGTGTAAACTGCTCTGAACTGGCAGCTGGCATCTCTGAAGAGGATGAGGAAGTGGTTGCCCGTGCACGTCTCCATCTCCTGAATAGGAAGAGACAGAAAAACAACACACAAGATGAGTAGAGTAGAAATCACAGTCACTTATAGCCTAGATAGGGTGGACCTTTTTTTTGGACTCTGACACAGGAGGATAGTTTACCTCTACAATCTTGTTTTTCTGTGGTTCATTGACCTTGCCGGCCAGGCAGCAGCGGGTGATAGCATTATGGATGATGAACTTGTTGGACTTAAAGCTAGGCTCCTTGTAAAGCTTTGGTCCTGTAAGACAGAGCATTTCAATATGTTATTAGGCCGACAAAACAGTGCTTACTGGAATCATCTTCACAATCGAGTTTAGTTGGAAACACGTCACTGACCTGTATATTCTGGGATTGAGGCAGGGGAGGAAATAGTGGAGCCATTCTCCCAGTCCTTCTCTCCGTTGTGACCACTGACTCGTCTTGGTGACATTAGCCTGGAGGGAGAGTGTGAACGGCTAGAGGGAGTCAAAACAAGAGTCTCGTGAGAAAAGTCAGTTATAGACCTTCAGGTTGTGTGTGTACATTGTTTGTTACGTGTACCTTTGCCCCTGACAACAGCTACTACAAAACCTTTAGTTGTCGATGTAAA